GGGGTTAGGGGGGCAGAGTAGGGATGTGAAATGGGTGTGTGTGTGTGTGTGTGTGTGAGGGGGACAAGGGAAGGGCAATGCTGTCTTCCATTTACCTCAGAGGTTGGAATTTGGAGCTGGGAATGACATCACACCTGACTTAACCGCGTTCCAGTACATCATGTGAGAAAGCCATTTAGCAATACCAGTCCTAGCCAGGTTCATTGTTAGCTATTGTTAGCAATACAAGTTGATAATGCATTACGCAGTATTTTGCGAATACACAAAAAGTAGCAACATGTTCATAGGTTGGTGGTACTGTGTGTATGGGCGTTTTAATGACACACAAATAAAACGTAAGTGCTAATAAAAACAATATGACTAATATGATTAAGGGTGCGGCCATCTTGAATTCCGAGGTCAGGGACGCAGACGTTCCTGACTTCAGGATTCTGACCTCAGGGGATGTTCCATTGGAAATTTCTGACTGGGAAATCAGAAAATCCGACTTCCCAGTTCATATGGAAGGCAGCATAAGTTCTCACCTTCATCTTGCAGTCCCTCAGCTTCAGGCCCAGGGTGCGGAATCTTACCAGTAACTGCTGCTGGGCCCTGGAGGCGTGGCGAGTGCGAGAGAGAAGGGCAGTAAGACACAGCGGGGAAGGCTGCAGATCACAAGTCATTACATCCTCACACTCAGTTTATTAAAGGCCCAAAATAAGAGCATAATTACCTTAACTGGCACATGCACTTAGAATTATAAGCAGTTTTATAAAGTTGTATATAAGATTGAAATCTGAGCTTTTACTCTGACGAAAGAGGTTGTGGGTAACATACAACCATCCAGGCAAATAAAATGCATCATGTGGCAATACAGTGACTAAGAATTTAACCCTTTTATGCATGTACACGGGGTCCTCATTCATCTGAGGGTCGTGTTATGGAAATGTGCATGCGTTTCAATTTCATGTATATTAAAATTTTTCCCCTCTAATTGAAAAATAAAAAGTAAATAAAAGTGCAGTTTATGTCATTTTTGACTCGAGCCACATAATTTTAAAAATAAAAACCTGATGGTATGTTAAGCATTTAATAAGAACACAAAGGTTTTCACTGAAGCCGTGGTCTTATACTGTAAGAAGACCCATCTTGGGTCATGGCCACCGCCCCCCGCTGCCCCCTCCTGTGGTACGCTCCGTCAGCAGTGGGAGCCTCGGTTCTGGTACCTGTTATAGTTGGGCAGGGATGCCTCTTGCTGCGGCTCACCCGTCTCCCTGTCCACCCGCCTGCAGCGCCACTGGTACCTGCCTTCATACCAGGTGTCTGTCACCAGCAGGATGTCATCACAGCGGGTGTGTGGGCCAGATCGGACACTGGCGTCCAGGTCCAGGTTGACCCTGACGTAGAAGGAGTCAGCGCCCATGAAGGAGGGCGAGGTCATCTGGGTAAGCAGCCGGGAGTATGCTGGGAGGGGGGGGGGGCAAAGCATTATATTCAGTTCCTCTCCAACATGCCGGTTGGCTTCGATTCATTCATCAGTCTGAGACCTTTATCTTAGGGGGCTCCGGGAACATGTGATCTTACCTTTGCTGTTGACCTGGTGCTTGAGGGCGGAGGGCTCTGTCCAAGCCTGCAGGAAGTAGTGCGCCACCTCACTGGTGCACCGCCCCAGCGGCACGCTGTCTTCTCCTGGCACGGCAGGCGCCAGCTGCCAAAACAGACCATGAGGTCAGGGGGAGATTGGCCTTGTGGGGTTGCCCGGGTAACGGTGCGTCCCACCCGCTTACCTCCAGCAGCTCGCTGCCCTCTCGCAGTCCACACTGCTCTGCCTGCGACCCCGCCCTCACACTCCGCACGAATATCCCCGTGCGGTTGCCCCCGATGATCGTGATGTCGTCGGCCAAGCTGGTGTTCCGTTTGGGCATGGCGGGGAAAAGGGAGGGACGGGCAGGATCTGGCCTGAGAGGAGAGAGAAAGAGAGAGAGGGATAGAGAGAAGGATGAGTGCAGGAGGTGTAGTGGAAGGGAAAGAGGAAGATCAAAAAAAGGCTGTGAGCTGCAAGGCCTGATGACAGTAGGAAAGGGTCAGCTGAGGGCTGCGTGTGATGCGTGTCCCAGGGGGGAGCGGCACAGCTCACCTGGATGGGCTGCTCACGGGCGGCGGCGAAGGGGGGGGGCTGATCAGCTCGCAGGGGAAGGGGTGAGAGTTCAGGGAGCTGAAGGAATCTGACAAACAGAGCTCACTTTGCCCTCCTGCTGCAGGACACGAAGCAACGACAATCAGGCAAGGAGGATGCGTCTATGTGCATGTGTGTGTTCGTATGCGTGTGTGTGTGTGTGTGTGTTTGTATGCGTGTGTGTGTGTGTGTGTGTGCGTCTGACCCGCGTTGCTAGTCAAAAAGCACAATGCAAGCTTGCATTTTATATACTCATATAATTATAATAGACACATACTGTACAGCGGAGAGGATGAACACACACATGGCAGTGCACACACCCTGCCATGAAAAGCCGGGGAGCATTCCGGCCTGATTCTATCTGTCTTTTAACTGCACTTATACGTTTTTTAATTTATTCATATATATGAG